TTGGTCAGTAGGGAGTGGAGGGAAAGAAGGGACTGGAGCTTTTCTTCTTCCCTTCCTCTCTGAAATATGTGAAAGCTCGACAACCCTCCTGCAATCTACAAGGGATGAATACACCAAAGGGTTAGTTTCAATAACTCCAACCTTCATAACTGCTTTATGGAGATTACATTGGCTTTTCCATAAGCATTTTCATGAACTAGAGAGAGATTTGCTCTCTATGGCTAAAATTCTAGCTAACATCTTTTTATAAATATTGTACTGTGATATTATATTTGGAGTAAAGATATATCTTTTGGTTTTTTTGCTTAAGAAGAAAATAATATAGGACATTGCTATTTGTGAGATTTCCTCTCTGGAACGGATGGCCTCTATCTAATCTTGATGGCCTGTGATTACTTTTAAAATGACTTCAAGCTGTTAGCAGCCTGACACTGATATAGGGAAACAGTCCAGGGTGGAAAAGGCTGAGGCCTACAGCGGGGCAGAGTGGTGAGAACGGGGGAGCCTGGATGTGATGGCACTCAGGTGACGACTTAGGTCCGATATATCGAGCATTTGTTACTCTTGGTCAGAAGCTAATGTATAATTTAAGAGCAAAGGGTGAAAACGGTGTCAGCTGACTTAGGTTGTATGCATATCCTCCCATGCAATTTAAAAAGTAACTTTAAAGGTCAAAGTACAAAGTTGGCGAGTTTCCCAGTGTACAAAGTACAGACATTGTGGAGTTTACTTGATGAGAGTAAATGTAAGACCAGTTATCACTCTGTCATATTAATACAGTGTCAGAGCAGTGCTTTTCACACCCGTGTTCACTGGAATCTCCTGGGACTCTTGTTACAATGCAGATCCGAGGTGGGTGCTGAGAGCCCTCATTCCTAACAAGTTCCCCAGGGCTGCTGCTGCTGCTCAGGTCCTGGGCTACTTTTTGACTAATAAGGGTCTGAGCCGGGGTGCCTATCTGTTGGGGCACAGAGCTATTATTATTGAGAAACTGAGGAAAACTAGGGATCCTCAAGAACAGTGAACCTGTCACCATCCCCTTCCCCCCCCACCACATCTGAATCATACAACGGCAAGGAGGTGGTGAAACCTTTGAAACCCACCTCGCATCTTCAGTTTTGATTTCAGGAGTGCGAATAGAAAGATGCTCTCATTACATAGTGGTCTGTCGGTCAGTATCTTTCCTAGTACTTTTATAGAATGGATGTTACTTTAAAACTAGGAAAGTGCTTTTGTGCTGACCTACAGGTTAGAATAAATGATAGCATGGAAAGCCCTGTAAGGCTCTGAACTGGACCTTATAGGTATAAGGCTCTGAGCTGGGGCATTACTTAACCTCTGGCTTCCAGCCCAGGCAGCAGGCATGGTAGCAGCTGCATTGCTTCGTGTTTTAGAAACAAGAATTGACAAATGCTGTGGTTACCTATCAGGGTTACTTCTAATCTTAGATCCCTGGATTATGCTGTACCTCCACAGGTTCTGTACCTCCATAGTGGTTTTGAAATGAGAGATCTAGACAAATTAGGTTAGCAAGTGGCTGAGAAACAAATGACTCATGTAGGAATGGGAAGAATTTAGAATGTGGCTTGATAATAACCTCACCCATGCAGTTCCCTTGCTGGGTAGGATATACTAGTACTTTTCACAGTAGAATGCTACAGGAAAGGGGCTAGTTTGTGAAATATTTTCTTATCATGGGGGTGTCCCTGGGGGGCAGGAGTGGAAGCACCTTGCACATGGGAGGGGTTTCATTTGTATGTCTTTAAAGCCATTGTTCGCTTCATATAGCCACCCTTCTTCACACTGGATCGGAACAGTCAAATGGGTTCTCTGTGAACCCACTGTAGTATCTGAGTGGTGTTTACAACATGTTCTGTGCCTGTTCATCTGAAGGTGGCCAGGATGACACCAGCACCTGTTTCCCCCAGCCCTGGGTTATTTGGAAGTAAATCCCAGACATCATATCATTTTTATTTGTAAATATTTCAGTAAGTAGCTCTAAAAGATTAAGACTTTAAAGAAATCATCATATTTAAAATAGTAATAATAATTCCTTAATATCATCAAATATCTGGTCAGTGTTAACATTCTCTACATGTAATTTCAAACACCCTTTTCTGTTTGAATTGAGATCCAATTGGCTATTTAAAGTCTTTTTAAATAGATTACTATTCCATCTTTATATTCCTTGCAACTTGTTATTGTTGTTGAGTAAATGAGTTCATTTATCTGTCAGCTTTCCCAGAAGCTGGATTGTACTGATGCCCCCTGGCACTGTTGGTGGTGTTCCCCCTGCCCCCCGAATTTCCCAGTGGTTCCCAAGGGAGGAGACTACCTGTTGGTGGTGTTCCCCCTGCCCCCCGAATTTCCTGGTGGTTCCCAAGGGAAGAGACTACTGGGCAGGAATGCTGGTCCTTCAGTCAGCACGCACAGCATGTCTGATTAGCTCCTAGAGCAGTGGTTCTCAACCTTCCTAATGCTGCGACCCTTTAATACAGTTCCTTATGTTGTGGTGACCCCCAATTTCATTGTTACAAATTGAACATAATTAAAGCATAGTGATTAATCACAAAAACAATATGTAATTATATATGTGTTTTCCGATGGTCGATGGTCTTAGGTGACCCCTGTGAAAGGGTTGTTCGACCCCCAAAGGGGTTGCGACCCACAGGTTGAGAACCGCTGTCCTGGAGGGTGCAGTAAGCAGCCATTGATGGTCGCTCCCTGGTGCCATTAATTCACCAGGGGTTGCAAAATGGTGATATTCCAGTGTTTTCATTCCATCTTCATTTATTAGCTGGAAATCTTGAAAAAAGTAACTTTTCCTCAACAACTATAACAATTGTTTGGTTACTCTGGCATGCAGATTGTTCAGGAAATGCCAGGGAAATGCTTGATTCTTTCCCTTTATCTTCTAGCTTTCAAAATAATGAGGTGATTCTTTTGATCCTCCAAAGGGGGCCATTTCCATTTTTATTTCTCAATTATGACTTCATGAACTTACGCATATTCTGTGTCTTTCTCTTGCAGTTATTCTTCTTCTTGCTGTTCAACTTTGGCCAGTAGGAACTTACTCAGGTTGACTCCTGGGTCCTTTCGACATGGCCTTTGTATCAGTTAGCTCTTACTGTGTAACAAACTACCCCAAATGTAGGGGCTTACAACACTATTATCTAACAGTTTCTGTAGGTCAAGAGTCTGGCGTCTCTCAAGACTGCACTCTAAGGTGCCAGCCTGCCCCACAGTCACCACCTGGTGTGGCTGGGGTGGGGCCCTTGCACGCTCACTGCATGGCTGCTGGCAACCCCCAGTTCCTCTGTACTTGGGCAGCTAGCCTTCCCCATTGCCAGGGCTCTATCAGTTTTAGTTAAAGTTCATGCTAGTTTCTTTCCATTCAGATTTAGGATGATGGAGCTTTTACTGAACCTCATGAATATTATGTTTGTATCTCTTTCTTTCTCAGTGGCACTGACATAATTGCTCATGTATTATCCCATAATACACAAACAAATCTCAGAATGATGATACTTACTTCCCCACCAAAAATATGATTACTGAAAATGCTTTAATATTTTTTTTATAGTTCCTTCTCTCCTTTTGCTATGTCCCACTACATTCTACAGTCAAATTCCTCTATACAGTCATAATTAAAATTGTTTGTTACTGTGCATTGCACAGTTAGGTTTATTTGCTTCAACTTATAAGTTTCCGTTTTAGGTTATTTTAAAATACAACTTTGGGAAGCATTTTTCTCAGTCTGTTGAGATCTTGCTTCCTGGCATATCTTCTGTTTAGCTCAAATAAACTCTAATAAACCCTTATAATTTTTTTTTAAATGTATAAGATTTCCTTTTATTTTTGTCATTTTAAAAATGATTTAGAGATAAAGGTGTATTTTCGTTATTGTTGTTTTAGAAATCTGGCTTTTATCACTGCCCCCTCCACTACATTTTCTTCTTTTCCCATAGGTAGCTTTTATTAAAACATTTTTTATTAATTGATTGATTTTTAGAGAGAGATGAAGAGAGGAAGGGAAAGGGAGAAGAAGAGGGAGAGGGAGAAGGAGAGGTGGGTAGCTTTTTGAAAAATAATTAGCTTATCCTTCTTATCTTTAAATATAAGAAGTAGTATGCTTGTATGTTTTTCTCCATCTTGCATTCTCTGCTCAACAATAAATTGATTTGGCTTTCACTCCATAGCAGTGTATAGAGCAGCCGTGGGCAAACTACGGCCCGCGGGCCGGATCCGGCCCGTTTGAAATGAATAAAACTATTGAAAAAAAAGACCCTACCCTTTTATGTAATGGTGTTTACTTTGAATTTATATTAGTTCACACAAACACTCCATCCATGCTTTTGTTCCGGCCCTCCGGTCCAGTTTAAGAACCCATTGTGGCCCTCGAGTCAAAAAGTTTGCCCACCCCTGGGTTAGAGCTAGCTCTTCATTTCTTTTTCAGTGATGTAACACTCTGTTGTGTAGGTATGGACATTCATTCTAGGGACCTATACTTTTTCAGGCATTCTCTTGACTTCCTCTTCTGAATGGATATAGAAAAAAGGTGGAAAGTAGGGGCAGTGCCCTGGCTGCTTTTAGAAATAGTACCTGGTTGGGACCACTCACTCTACTTTTCTTCTTAGCTCTCATCTTGGGTGGAGGGATAAAGGGTCTTTCTTTCTATAACCAGTTGAGTGGACTGCTTTTTTCATGATTCACAGGCCTCTGTAGTTTCTGTCATTTCATTTTCACTCCTTTTAACTTACAGTTAGACATTTTTTCTAGGTTTGAACAACTCACTATTTGTCGGTCTCAGTTTTTGATGGTGGTATCTATATTGTGTGTCTTCATGTTTATATTCGTAAGGATTTGGGAGGAGTTGTATCAGTGATTGTGCTTCAGATGCCATTTAAAAACAAACTCCTATATGTAAAAAGTAAGTAACACAGTTTGTTTTTCTAACAGTCTTTTCTCTCCTAACCAAACTGAATTTGTTTGTGTTGTAGGGAAAAGGACTTGGAAGCCAAATTCATTATACAAATGGAGAAAAGCAAAACAACAATCACAAACTTAAAGGCAAGTAGCAACCTGCCCTTGCTGCCATTCCATGAGCCCCCGTGTCTGTTATAATGACTTGTGGATAAATAAGACGCTTCTGCCATGTCCGCACTCCTTTCTCAGTTCAGTTAGGCATGTCAGCTTGCTCTTGGCTTTGGGCTCCATCATGAAGCAAGAGGATTGATCCCGTTTCCTCTCCCATCCCTCGTTTCCTTTGATCTGAAAACCAGACCAAGCTCTCGCTCTGCCATGGGAGCTCATTGGCTTGACCCTGGCATATTTCTCTTGTATCCTGTGGTGGATCCTTAGCCTGGCCATTGACTACATTTTGTGAATTATTAAATAAGCTTTGGCCCTTGATTTGTTTTTATTTTTAATGAAAAAAAATGATGCTTGTAGACGTTGCAAGAGGAGCTGGTATTATTCAAAATTTAGGGGATGAAAAATAAAAACACTGAGTTTTTTTTCTGAAAAAAGATTGAAAAAATAATTTCCTAAGATGGCAAGTCCTTCCTATTGCACTTAAAATGTCCTGTTTGTTTCGTTGATCAGTGATGTTGTTAAGTCCCTGAATACTTTTTACTCAGGGGGGAAATAGGGAGTAATATTAATAATAAGACAGGAGCTTTATGGACTCATCCCCTTCCTCCTTTAGATACTCTCATAAACTTGCAGGTTTGCATTTCTGAGGCCTGCTGCTCCATGGTCAAGTGCAGGTCAGTCTCAGGTTGGATTTCTCTTAATTTGTGGCTCCAGGGACTGGACACTTTGAAATCTGATTTCAAAGTGGTGCAACTTGATCTCCAGTGATAGGAGGTAGGGAATGCTCCTGTCTTCCAGTGGGCCATGCCCTAGATAATTTGATAGGCCTCCTTTGAAGCTCTGGTGTCCCTTTGCCTGAGGCATTCTCCACTGGAATGTCTTTCTTCCTCCACTGACCCGAGTCCTTGTACCTTCTAGCTCTGTCTGGCTCACACTTAGCTTTCCCTCCTTTGACCTCCCACACCTGCTCAGTTTCTGCCAGTCACCACTCGTCCCTTCCCTGCTGTTAGTTATCTTTGCTTGGCTTTGCTTCATGTATCTTTGGGTGCTCACAGTGCTGTGGTAAAAGTTTAATCATTAAAAAATTGCATTTACTGAAACAAAGTGAGAGGCCTCCTTTCTTTGTGCATAGTGGAGTCTATTTTCCTTGTTTACTCTGTTGTTTTTTTGAGATTACAAGCATTTCCTCAACTGATGTAGCCAGAACATATGCCCAGACTTATAGCATTTTAATAAGAAGAACCTTGACAATTTTTCTTTATAGTGTCTGAATTATGTTGGAAAAATAGGATGGTCATTGAATTTATTCAGCATGTGTCCTGGATGCTGTGTGAAGCTTCGGTATCATATGAAGATTTTTAAACATGGGTTTTGGTTCACTTTAGGTATGGACCAAGGTAGACAAGATATATGCAAACATTTGCAATAATATGATATGTCTTGGAGAGTCTAGGCCAGTGGTCAGCAAACTCATTAGTCAACACAGCCAAATATCAACAGTACAACGATGGAAATTTCTTTTGAGAGCCAAATTTTTTAAACTTAAACTATATAGGTAGGTACATTGTTATTAACTTAATTAGGGTACTCCTAAGATGGCCTTTGCTAAAAACGTCCTCAATCAGATTGAGGTACGTTTGCTGAGGTCGACCGCTTCCAACTCTCCCATCCACACTCGTCTTGTATACTTGTTTCGTCTGTCTGCTTTCGTTCATCCTCTCTATATGTCCAAACCATCTCAACATACCTTTCTCAATCCTCGACACTACATCTTCTTTCACTCCACAACGTTTCCTAAAATTAACTTAATAAACTTTACTTAAAGTTTTAAGTCAACTTCGCACTGTACGTGCGCGCCCGCACGTGGTATTTTGTGGAAGAGCCACATTCAAGGGGCCAAAGAGCCGCATGTGGCTCGCGAGCTGCGGTTTGCCGACCACTGGTCTAGGCTCTCAGAGGTGGGAGTGCCCAAGGGACGCTTCATGGAAGAGGAAGCCTCTGATCTGGAGTTTTCAGTGGGGCCACAAAATCACGCAACTCTAGGGAACTCCAGTCACATGAATAGCACCCCCTGGAGTTATGCAACCCCTTCCCCCCGGCCAACGATGGTGGTTTCTGGTAGAGGGGACAGTGAAAAGCACTGAAGATGGGATAAAATAGAGTCTGGCTGGAGTGTTGGTTCATATAGAGTAATCATGATAAAACATCCAGGGAAGTAGCCTTGGGTCATATCATAGACTGACTCTGGATTTATTTCCATTTGGTGGGGGTGGGTGGCCCACAGTCAGGAGGAATTAAATGCTTCTTAGGATGTAAATATGAGAAATGGTGATCATTGTGTATTTTTTACAAAGAAAAAAAATTTAGATTATTTGTCAACTGACAGTGCTCTTCTTATATTATTATTATGATATCATATCTCTCTAGATACCTGAAGGAGGGTCTGGGGACTCAGGGAGAGAACGGACCAAGACCTTCACTTACGACTTTTCTTTTTATTCTGCTGATACAAAAAGCCCAGATTATGTTTCACAAGAAATGGTAAGATATTTTCAGAATCTTTATTTTGGTTTATTTTTCATACCGAGAAAAACATGCCTATTCTAAACCCCTTAAAACATCTTATTTTTGAAAAATACAATTTATACAAAATGGGTCATTGCTAACTTAGCTTTTTGGTTGTTCTATATCTTAAGCCTGAGAATTCAATCCCCAAAAGGTTTATTTTTATTTGTCTAAGCATGATGATCATAACTTTTTTTTCAAAACTTTGACACTACTGATTGGAAGGAGCTCTGTGAATAAAACATTTTTGGGGAGACATTGAAATGCTGCTAATCTTAGCAAATAAGCCACTTAGCCCTAAATGTTGTGTGGGGCAGAGCTTTAAGAAGTAGACTTCAAACACAGGCCACGTCTCCCTGCTGGAGCGGATCATTATAGGTTCTGGGAAGAAGGATTCTAGAAAGAAAGAACATTTGTCCAAAATATTTATAGAACCTGGAGTAAAGCTGGAATTTGTCCAAAAAACCTCTCCTGTAGGCTTTTATAGCTTAAAATGTAGATATGACATGGGCAGAGAGAACAGACTTAAAGATACTCCCAGGAGGCTGTCATAGCAACGTTTCATGGAACAGAAGAACAAGGGTATTTCCTAGGTGGTCAAGAAGGGTGTTTGAGCCGAGTGGGGGTACAGCAGCACCAATGTGTGTGTGGGAGAACATGGCTTCATGGCTGGGCCTCTTCTTGGCTTGTTACCTGCTGCAGGTCTTCATGTGTTTATTAGTAAACAAGGATAAGAATGTCATCGTGTCCTGGGTAGTAATTCATGTGATGGCATCTTGTCTGGTTTCTTGCAATTCGATGTGTGCCTGTACCTGAATCATGGGCCTTGCCTGGGAGCATATCAGAAATGCAGAATCTCAGGACCTTTCTCAGACCTCTGAATCCGAAACTGTGTTTTTGAGCATAATCCCCAGGTTATTTACATGCATCTTAACACTTGAGAAATTTAGTTGGTTTAGAAGTAGATTGGCTTTCTGAGGCAGTGTAAATGTTGGAGGAAGATGGGTTGTGAACATAGATAAGTTGTTCAAACGAGAGGACTGGAGTGATTCTATCCAGAAGATGTCGATTCAGGATCGGGGACATACAGAAAGGACAATGAGAATGGGAGCTGTAAAGAGAGATGAAGTGCCTGGTATGAAAGAGGCGCCAGAGAGGAAAGATGAACCAATGCTGCTTGAGTTTGTATTGGTGTCAGAAACTGCTTGGTGCTCAAGTACACTGTCTCACTTAATCTTCACAAGAACCAAATGAGGTAAATTGTAGCTCCATTTTTCTTTGTCGAAGAGACCCAGTGAGCTCAAATAACTTGCTGGAGCCCATAGGCTGAATCGACTTGATAGTAGTAGAGCTGAGATCCTGGGCTGGTATATAGGGGGTAAGAGAAAAGGATTGGTGTGTTCTAAGTGAGAGATGGACAGGGCAGCCTTGTTGAATGAATAAATGAATGAGTGAGTGAGTGACAATAACTTTGGTGTTTAGGTAATTGGATTAATCAGTGTTGGTAGCTAGGAGTCTGGTGAGGAAGTAAATGTTATAGATATTGGAATCCAGATTTTGGCTTTAATATAGCACTGAGAATGAAGTGACTGGTATGAGGGAATTTGTTAAGGGAAAATTGTCAGTTTATTCTATAGTCTTAAGAATGTCTTTAATAGAGGATGAATGAAGAGCCATGCAGGTCTCCACTTCTAACTTACCTAGTGAGCAGCTATATATCCCTCTTATCTAACTTGAATTTGAGGCCTTTTATGGACAGAGAGTAGAGTGGTGTGCGACTCCATGCCTGGCACACTGGAGACACTCAGTAAACATTCGCTGACTGAAAGACCCTGTTTGCTGATGGTGGTTAAATTACAGGAACAGATGACATTTTCGTGTTCCTCAAGAGTTAAGATTGGTGGTTTGCTCTTTGGGGAGATAAAAATAAATGCCCAGAATTTAAACACAGTTTTAGATTGTGAAAGCTTTCAGCTGATAAGGATAATTTTCATGGTTCAGGTGTGTGTGCAATGCTCTTCTCAGATGCTTTGAGTTCTTTAACTCTCTGAAATAATATGAGATTGTTCCATTAAATTACAAAACTAAAAGAAACCTTGAAATATGTTAGTAAACACTATTTTCTAGTATAACCAGGTGTTAATAAAACCAGCATAGATGTAGGAAAATTCCTATTTTTTAAGAACTCTATTAAACAAAGGTAATCTTCCCTCATCCCTACTTTTTTTTGTTTTTGTTTTGTTTTTCTTAACCCTCACCCGAGGATATTTTTTCATTGATTTTGTAGAGAGAGTGAAAGGCAGGGAGGGAGGGAAGGAGAGAGGGAGGGAGAGAGAAGCATTGATGTGAAAGAGACACATCAATTGGTTGCCTTCCTCAGGCACCCTGATCAGAGCTGGGGAATCGACCTGCAACCCAGATATACTGGTGTGCCCTTGACTGGGAATTGATCCTGTGACCCTTTGGTGCAAGGGCCCACACTCTAAGCACTGAGCACACTGGCCAGGACTTCATCCCTAATTTTAATAGCTGTTGTTCTAAAAGTGGCTTCAATGTCAAATATTGACTAAAGTTTTCATGCTGCCATACTTGGCACAGGAATTGAGCTGACAGGTTGTATTCTTGCTAGAAACAGGGGAAGATGCAAACTTAGCATGATGCTTATCATCTCAGTCTTCTTCCTTTCCCTTTTTCCTCCTCCTCTTCTTCCTCTTCTCTTTCTTCTTCTCCTTCTTCTTTCTTCCCCCCCTCCTCCTTTTTCTTCCTCTTCTCTTCCCTCTCTTCCTCCTTCTCTTCTGCTTCCTTCTTTTCCTCTTCCTCCTCCTCCTTTTTTTCATTTGAATATAAAGGTATTTTGAAAGGTTTGTAAGATTTGAAGATTATATATATATATATTTCTACTGAGCCATAAGAATAGATGAAATACTGCCAATTGTGACAACATGGATGGATCTTGAGAATATCATGCTAAGTGAAATAAGTCAGATAGAAAAAGTTAAGAACCATATGATTTATTAATATGTGGAATATAAAATTGAATACAACAAATGAACAAAAAAGAAAAACAAACAGAAACTCATTGACACAGATAACAGTATGGTGGTTACCACAGGGAAGGGTGTTAGAGGTTAGTAAAGGGTATTGAGGGTCAAATATGTGGTGATGGAAGGTTTGACTTTGGGTGGTAAACACACAATGTAATATACAGATGATGTATCATAAAATTATACACTTGAAACCTATGTAATTTTATTAACGAATGTCACCCCAACAAATTTAATAAAAAAAAGAAAGACATCTCGCCCTGGCCCAATGACTCAGTTGATTGGACATTGTCCAGTACACCAAAAGGACACAGGCTTAATTCCTGGTCAGGGCACCTACCTAGGTTGTGGTTGATCCCTGGTCAGGGCGCATATGGAGACAATCAATCCATGTTTCTCACATTGCTGTTTCTTTCCCTCTCCCTTCCTCTTTCTCTAAAATCAATAAAAACATACCCTTGGGTGAAGATTAAAAACAATAAAAATAAAATTAAAAAAGACATCTTGAGAAAATATATTATGCAAATTATTCTGGTTCCAGTCAAGTTTCCCTAATGTTAAACAAAAACCAAGATGACCAAATTCATATTAGATTCAGGAAAAAAAAAAAAAAATCAGTGAGCTATTTAAAGCTGAACTCATGTAAATTAAAGTCCATTAAATAAGGTCTAATTTTCTTAATGATTCTTCAAAACTCCAGAGGGAGGCTTTGATCTCACACAACCTGTTCCTTGTTTCACCTCTGGAGAAACTTGAAACCTAAAATCTCCCAGTTGACAAGCCCGGTGAAAGTCTTTTGTTTTAACAGTGCCCTCTTGTGGGCAATTTCCCTAAAGTGAGGTCCTGTGATGAGTTGGATTACTCTGGCAATCAGCTGTAAAGTCTACTCAGTCAAGGAGCAAGGTGGCTTTTGGATAACCTGGCCAAGTGATGCTCTCAGTGGGGTTGATGCCAGTAGGGAAAGCAGTCTCTTTTTTTTTTCTTTCTTTTTTTTTTTTTTTAAATATATTTTATTGATTTTTTACAGAGAGGAAGGGAGAGATAGAGAGTTAGAAATATCGATGAGAGAGAATCATGGATCAGCTGCCTCCTGCACATCTCCTTACTGGGGATATGCCCGCAACCCAGGTACATGCCCTTGACCGGAATCGAACCTGGGACCTCTCAGTCCGCAGGCCAACGCTCTATCCACTGAGCCAAACCGGTTTCGGCAAGGGAAAGCAGTCTCTTAAAGCAGCCCTTCCCTCCCTACCCTGTGTGGTAGATGATGGTAAATAACTCCTTTGTGGGAGCTGTGATGAGTCCCTCTTTTCCTTGCCAACGACCTGGGAGATGTGGGCAGTGTCTGGCTGCTTCTCTGGGTCCCAAGCCAACTTTGGGTGGGTTACTTGAGACTGAGCCAGGCCTGGGTCTCAGCGCCTCCAGATCTGCACTGTGTAGGCTCATTTTACAGTCATGTTCACCAGCCCCAACCCCGCCACCCCACCAGCAGTCAGAGAATCCCAGCTGAGTTAGCTTTGGGGAAAATAAAGTAGTAGCAAAATGGTGGGTGTGGATTTTAACCCTAGGGAAGAATTTCATTTGGATAACTTGAGTTTGGTTTAATAACGGTATTTTCCACGACTTAGTTTTAGCCCAGAGAAAAATACGTGAGGAGCTCCTTCCTTTATTCTTTGGGAACTGTGTGGAAGGCTGTTCTTCCTATCCATTGGCACTCTGTGAAATAGTAAAGATGATACATTCCTTTTGTTTAATCAGAGAGAATTGAAGAAAGATTGAGAGTTTTTCTTCATATTCCATATATTATGGTGAAACCCAGTGGATGGTCTGGAGCCCTGAGGCTCCCTGAGATTCCTGGCTTCTACTTTTTCACAGGAGTTGAGGGAGGTGGGTGGTGGAGGAGAATGGGGAAAGGCATCTTTCCAGGTAGGATAGGGGCCTTGTGGTTGGTGTCCAGGGTATGGGAAGAGGACCCATGGCTATGAGGCCTTTAGATGCAGCGGCTTTTAGGTTAGAAGGTCCAGGTGGCAAATCCTAACTCTGCCACTCACTCTGAATGCCCCATGACCTAACCTCTGCCCCTGAAAAAGGGATCTAGCAACACTACTCACGCTGTAGTGTTTTTATGAGCACAATGTGAGCTGCTATTACAGTTGAGAGTTGAGTAGTCATCAGATTGAAAATAATAACAGAAAATATCAGTTCCTAAAAGCTGAAGTGGTAAGCATTAACTCAGAATGAATGAGACTGGTCATTTGTGGAAATGACTCGATTGAAATGATCATTTGTGAGATGACTGACAAGACTGAGAAAAAAAAGTTCAAACAAAATGGCAGGAAATGGTGGCTGAAGCAAGCAGGAGTCCAGTGGGCTGTAATTTATCTTGGCCTTGGATGACAGACCTTTGTTAGCCGGGATGGTTTCTGTGGAGCTGAGTTGGAGATGGCCAGTGTGTATTAGCCCTTTCTGGGAGGGAGGTGTTCCACCCGAGGGCTCTGGCTCCCTGCAGGGGAGGTGATGGGTCTGGGCACTCCCGAGGGGTTGATGCGGCTCCCACCTTGGACTCTGATGGCCCCACAGAGCAGTGCCTCACTTTTCTCTGGCTCTGATGGGATCTGATCGAACTTCCTCCATTGACATCTCTGCAGCGGCTGATGTGCATTGTTTTTAAAGCAGGGAGGTGCTTTATGTGCCCTTCGTGTGCTAATCCAGGAGGGTGGGGCAACATGAGGGCTTGTGGGGATTTGGAGAGCTTTGCTTGGTCTACTTCCCAGGCAGGTGTAAGTAGGATGACCACACATCTTGTCTTGCCTCATTTATATCAGTTTTCTGGGTGAAATATTTGTCCTTCACCCCAGAGTGTCCATTGCAGTTATATGGTGCAGCAGACACGACGGACACAGGCCCCACCCAGCTCTGCTTCATGTCTTCTCCATCGTGGGCAAACATCCAAGTAGAAAAAAGCATCTGGACTGACTCTGGGAAGCTCAGCCATTCTGCCTCATCCACCTTCAGACACTTGCTTTGATGAATAGCCGGACCCTTAAAATGATGACATAGATTTGGCATAGTTTGGGCATAACTTCTGGCTGCTGTGACTTTCAGGTTTTGAATATTTAGTTTCTGGAAGCTCTGATAGAATGAATAACTTTATAAGTTTATTTAATTCTGAAATGGTAAATCAGCATGCTTTTAAATTATCTTTGCTTCTGTATATGATTGTCACTTTGCCTTATTTACATTTTTTTACTTAAGGCGTTTTTTTGTGTGTGAACCTAAGTAGGAAAAAGAATGGGGGTTGCTTTTTGCTTGCTTAAAAAAACTTTCCTTTTCATTAAAAACTGGGGTACACATGTATATTGTTGTTAACTGTTCTGCAGTGATTTATTTATGTGGTGTAATCCTTCTGAGATAAAAGTAATATTGAAGAATATTGTCAGCACTGAAGGGGCTTTTATTAAAATCCATGGTAATATCGTCTGTGTTTTCCTGGCTTTCAGGTTTTCAGAACCCTTGGCACAGATGTTGTGAAGTCTGCATTTGAAGGTTATAATGCGTGTGTCTTTGCATATGGCCAGACTGGATCGGGAAAGTCATACACGATGATGGGAAACTCTGTACGTTGCTTACACTGTGGGAAGAACATTTTTCATTCTCTCTCTCTTTGGGCTGATAGAATTGTCTCTTTATCTGCTTGGTCTGTAATAACTTGCTTTTCATGTTCTGATCATTCTTCAGCAATAAGATAAAACTCAGTAATAAGTTGGACTAAATGTCCCTTCAGAGATTTTAAATTAGAAAGAGTTCTAAGTTTATAAGCATGAATAATGGATGCAAGCCTCAGTTCATTTTCCATTTTTAAAGGCTTTATAATCTTATCAAAAAAGTGTACTGGGCCCTTAAGTAATTTATTCTTCTTTTCTGCCAACAGAACAGTTTGAATAAAATTACTGAACTCTCTTCTTTTTAAAATTATTTAAAACATTTTCCCCCCAAGAAAAATGTAAAAAAAAAAAAAAAATCTAACTCTTTGGTAAAAAGGTACTATATAAATCAAACAAATACATAAAAAGGATTAGAATTATATAGTTTATATAGAGTATATATGGTTATAAACACAGTATGTAGAGTTTAGTAGCTATGCTGTATAAATTGACAAACATTAGAGTTATATTTGCCCCAAAATATGGAGGAGTAAAAACAACTAGGCATTATTGCAGGAACTTGATCTTGTCTGTGTTTTCTCCAGATCTAGTAGTGCCATGTTTTCCTTTTTTTATGTCCTGGTGAAAACTGTTCACTGACTCTCAGGCCTGTGGCCTGTTCTAGATGGAGATACTGGCAGAGGACCGCAGGCTCCTGCTGGCGGCACAGTGGTGCCGTTAGGACTAATGGTTGGGTGGCGCAAGGAAGTAGCAGTATAGTCAGGAGTCTGGGTCACTCCCTATGACAGTATTTCAGTACATGTGTCTTGGCTTCTGACTCCAGGCTTTTCCTTGACAAGATTAGTAGATGACGCTGTGAGGAGAGTCCCCAGTGCTGAAAAGCAGGGAAGAATAAATAGGGAGGAACAAACAGATGCATTTGCTTTCTATCATTAATTTTCTCTTCCTGCTCTCCTACTGTGCCTTTGGAAGAAACCTCATCTAAAAGTTAAATTTCCCTGGAGCTATTTTCTGTAAGTGAAACATTTATAAAGTGCTCACAAATTACAACTATCTTCTCTGACCTTACAGTTGAGTACTATTTGTGTATTTTTTAAAATTTATTTTGTAAAGTAAGAACTTACAATGTGGTAAAAGTTTTATTTTTTTCTTGATAAGAATTGGTACTGATTTAATGGTGTAAAGAAAAAAAAATCTCTTAGAGCTATGATCTCTTTTGTGTGTTTTTTTTGGGGGGGCAGTGAGGGATTGAGGGAAGATGGGGATGGACTTTGGAAGAAAACATTGAGGCTCTGAAGTTCCGTTTTCTAACAACATTTTGCCTCATCTTTCATATCGACCTGATGTTCATCAGCTTGTTAATGCTAACTGAACATGAAAGTTATTGATCATGCCCCCATTGTATAAGTAATACACTGTGTTAAGCTCTTCCTGTCTGGGAAGACCCGTGTAGGGATTAGTGCATCAAAAGAATTTCAACTTCCTTGGTTATAGATCTGATTTTTAACATTTATTCTGTAGCTGTAGACCCTCTTGTTTTCTTATGTTTGTTTGCATGCCTTGATTTAACTGATTAACAGCTGCTAACCATATAGTACCGTAATCTCGGTGCGTAGAAATTAGAAAGCTCAGTTCTCTTATTTCACAGAGTAGGAAGCAGTTTTGGGGGGAAATGGTGTGACTTGGGCACTGGGTGGTAGGCTTTGGGGTGGCATGCGGACCCTTGAGTCTGAGTCCCCTCCAGCGATCTACACATATTCAGTCATCGGTGGCTTTTGTTTCAAGTGACAGCTGTTGCCCTTCCTCTTGCCCACTGCAGGGCGATTCTGGCTTAATCCCTCGGATATGTGAAGGGCTCTTCAGTCGGATAAGTGAAACCACCAGATGGGATGAAGCGTCTTTTCGAACTGAAGTCAGGTAGGGCCCGTGGCCTGAGTGCGTGTGAGCTTGGCTGTACTTGCCTTTAGGCATCAGGAATGGATAACACCTCTGGGTTCTGAAGGGAGAATCTGCCTCTACCCTCTCCTGAACCATGGTAGCAGGACATCAACCTTAAAACTCGTTTACTTTCAATGACTTTCTTGAGTACAATTTGTTTTAGGATTTGGGAGGCTGGTAGAAATAACCCAGATTGGTCAGAAACACTCATTTTTGGATGTTTTGCTCAAATGGAGTGAGCTTTTGAGTTTTAAGTGTATACCCAGTTCACTTACCTTATTCTTTTAGCTGAATATGGTTTGTGTTTTTCTTTATGTTGGTAGGATCACTATAAATGTACTCTTTAAATAAGTCTGCATGATTGAGGTGTTTTTTCCTCCTTGAAATTAAACTTTTCTAAGAGCCAGTCTCTTCAGTGGTTTTGAGAACAGACGTAGCAGTCAAGAGTTATCGCTGCTTGACCTCTCAGTACCTCTATGGCCTTGGATAAGTTGTCTAAATCACTGTAAACCTCCATTGCGGATAATTGTACCACTTACCTCTGGGTTGTTGTTGGGATTAAATGACATATTACACTTAATGTATTACCAGATGCATCGTTAGCACCCATAAATGCATGTTGCTGCTGTTATTACTGTTACTATAAATATCTGAAATAATTTTTCTGAATTCAGTTCTATTTAAAATTTTTAGCTACTTAGAGATTTATAATGAACGTGTGCGAGATCTACTTAGGCGGAAGTCATCCAAAACCTTCAATTTAAGAGTCCGGGAGCATCCAAAAGAAGGACCTTATGTTGAGGGTAAGAATGAATATTTCACAGCCCTATTCTTATTGGGAATTTGTTCAAAAATAATAGTTTCAAAGAAAAAGGTAGGATAATGGTGAGATATAAAAATTTTATTTATTTTTGGCAGTTTTTTACAGTAAAAATGCCATGTTGTTACTATACAATGTTTATTTAATGAATTTGTACTTCACCGGGCATTTACTGGATTTTCTGGGGCTTGCCAATAGATTTCCTCTGGCTTTAAGAACTCTCTAGAAATTGTTTTTCAACGTTCTTAGGCAAGATCAGCAACCCTATCACCTGTCTTTTTGAATGGCATTGCATTTTGGCGGTATATTTTTACTGACACCAATGCAGCATGACCACAAAGAGATTCTGCGACATCTTGCCTTTTGAGAAGCTCATTTACAGAGTTTCCTGTGCTGAGGTTCTCAGCATTGGTGTTCTGATAGCTGTCACGGTCAGTTGTGAGGAATATAACCAGTATAGATGGGTAAGGGGATGGCCCTTGCTATTTATTTTAAAAATTCTTTAAAAAATAGGTTGGATTTAATGCTCTCCTTATTAAAAAAAAAGGCTTTCACTTATTCTGAGTGAGGTAGCTGAGTGATGGCTGGCGTGTCGGAATCACACACAGGGATGTGCTTTAGTGTGGCTGTCATCTTTCATGTGTGTCTTTTTGGAGGCAAGGCTGAGAACTGGTCATGGGTTTGAAGATGTTCCTGAATGTTTATTAGTTTTACCTGCAGATATCATGTGCACCAATAGGACCCCATCTGCATTTTATTAAATTTCCAATTGAACTTTTGCCTTTTACGCCCAAAGTAAGGTGTGTGATTATGTATTTGTTTTGTGGAGTGTGAAATAGCTACTATTGTTAATAGATTTAGCCTCTTTGTGCTTCAGATTTTGTCTTTAATGTGTTATCAGATGTTAAAACATATTATAAAGCTGGTTTGTGAAGAGACAGAATAATCAAACGAGGCAAAACATCCAGAATTTGATGTAGGTACACATGGGGATTTAGTTTCTAATAAATTTTCTATTCAAACTTTGGGGGAGTATGGGTTATTAAGTTAATTATTTCCAGAAATTTGGAGAAGGGAAGGCTTTAAAGAATTTTTACTTAAAACCCAGAAACCATGAAATAAATGTGTTAAAATTTGAAGTGATAAAAAAATAAAATTTTATACTTGGCAGAAATACCATAAACAAAGTAAAAAGAAAATTCCAAAATCGGGAAAATATTTTCAATTCAAGTTTCTGACAAAGGACTAATTTTTCTAATATGTAAAGAGCTCCTATAAATCAACAAGAACAGGTCCAACAACAAAGTGGAAACATGAATGAAGTGTGTGAATAGCCTGTTCACAGAAATAGAAATATAGATGATTTTTAAATAGGAGAAAGAATTCTCAGCCTCACTCATAGAGAAAAGCAAAATAAAAATTCTTCAATATTACATTTGTTACCTGTCTTTGGCAGATGTAAGAAAGCCTGATATGACAGTGATGGGAGACACGCAGTTTTGTACAACGCTACTGCCAGGTGTAAATTGCCTTCTGTGGAGAACAATTTTTTGCAGTATCTATCAAAATTTCAAATGTGCTTTGATCAAGCAATTTCACCTCTTAAGAATTTATTATGCAGAAATATTTTCACATACTTGAAAAGACCTGTGTACAAAATTATTTGTAGCAGTATTATTTGTAATTGGAAACAAAATGTGAACAACCTCTGTAATCTCAATAGGCAGCTGGTTCAATTGGTTATGGCATATACATACAGTCACATACTCTCGAAGCTATAAAAATGATGAGCAAAAATAGATCCAGAAACATAGAAACATTGAACAGACCATCAAACCTCTGAGGAAGGCAGGTGAGGGTGGAGGAAGGGATAAGAGATCAACCAAAGGACTCGTATGCATTCATGTAAGCATAACCAATGGACACAGACAGTAGGGTGGTAGGGCGAGGGCATGTACTGGGGCTGGGGGAAGAGGTCAATGGGGGAAAAAGGAGACATATGTAATACTTTCAACAATAAAGAGTTTAAATAAAAGAAAAAAGGAATGAGGCACCACCTTAACTGGTACAGAATATTCTTCATTATATTATTACATAGAAAAAAGCAGGATGCAGAACTATGTTTTTGGTATGCTGCCATTTGTGTGAAAGGGAAAATATGTTTTTAAAATATGTAAATGCTTGTATGTGTATGGGTTATTTCTAGAAGGGTATGGAGGAACTGATAACATTGGGTTGACTGACAGAAGGAAACATGGGTGATGGGTTATAGGCTAGGGGTAGGAGGACACCCTTTACACAGTGTACCTTTTGTAGTAGTTGACTTTGGAGTTATATGAATGTTTCCAAGAAAATGAATAAGAAGTTTTTAAAGAAGATTTAAAAGAATACTCTTTGGTTTTGCCTGAATTTAGTGTTTACATTTCTCTTCTGGGTGCCATGACTGATGCTAATGAGGCTGATGATAATAGCTAACATTTATCCCTGTGTTAGGCATGCGTTATTCAGACCAGATGACTGAGTCATGGTGGGCTATGTGACTTGGCCATAACCATGTAAGTCTACTCACAAGCAGCAGAGCTGGGACTTGATTCCGGAAGGCTCAGCTCCTGAATGTGTTATAAACTACCCCTCTATAGGAACAAGTAAGATCTGCCAACAACCGATTTGTCCAGTTGTGTTTTACTTTATAGAGGTGGATTTCCTATTCCATTTGCTATATATTAGGAAGATTGCTTCACCCCCTTTTTTTCAGATTTATCCAAACATTTAGTACAGAATTATGGCGATGTAGAAGAACTTATGGATGCAGGAAATATCAATCGTACCACCGCAGCGACTGGGATGAACGACGTCAGTAGCAGGTCTCATGCCATCTTCACCATCAAGTTCACTCAGGTAAGGCAGACTCGCGGAACGGCTGGCTGTGTCCCTGAGGTCTTACCTGCTGATTAGCACCAGCCGAGGACCCATCCTTGTGGAACCAGGAGCAGCAGCAGGCAAAGGTGACTGTCACGTTCCTGTTAGTTAGACTTGAGCATGTGCTCTGTGCTGAGTTTCTCGGTGGTTACAGTCACAGAAATTTGAAATGTCCTGATGTGTACTCTTAAGAAAGAGCAGGCTTCTGCCCTGTTCAAGACACAAAAAGTCTTGCTTTGTGCTTAATTCAGCAAAAGTTTCATGTTGCAAGCTCTGTAGGAGGTAATGGATTCCTAGTCAGACCAGCTGGAGGCCAATGTAAGTAACTCATTGGGGTGCATTATCGCTCCACAGAGGTCACCCTGCAATGTTGATTATGGTTATTAGAATGATATTAAAGGACAAGGAACATTTTAAAGTATTAATGTAAGAATTCACTCTGATTAAGGGGTATAGGGCATTTTGAATATGTTTGCAAATTATTGAAGGCAAATATTTTTTTAAAATATATTTTATTTTTTATAGAGAGGAAGGGAGAGGGGTAGAGAGTTAGAAACATTGATGAGAGAGACACATCGATCAGCTACCTCCTGCACACCTCCTACGGGGATGTGCCCGCAACCCAGGTACATGCCCTTGACCGGAATCGAGCCTGGGACCTTTCAGTCTGCAGGCGACGCTCTATCCACTGAGCCAAACCGGTTAGGGCTGAAGGCAAATATTTTAACACCTAGGCTGGTAGAATAGATGAATGCAAAAATGTAGGGTCCTCTGGGCTTAATAAAATGTTAGGAGTTTGGGGATGTCTTGGTTTGTATTAGCCATTGAACACACCAGATACAAAAAGGTAGCATTTTCAGAGAGAAAACAAAAAAGACAAGAAAAAATTCTCTTAGGTCAATTGATGAATTCTCCACATCTTTAGCTTTTGCTAGACCTTTGCTTTTTACTTACTCCACTGGTTTTTCTCCTGCGTTCTACTTAATGCAGAGTAGGATCTGGCCATTCCCAATTTCTAAGAGGTTTACATTTTCATCAAAACGTGGTGATTTCTTTTTAGCATTTTGGTTCAGACTATCAAGTGTAAGTTAAAAGTCTTTCAGAAAGTAAAATTCAGAATCAGGGGATACAGTATTTCAGTTGATCATGTTATAATTTATGAAACAAAAATTTGAACATCAAATAATGGCCAAATGACCTTTTACATAATTGTCTACATTTTTCCTATTTTGGAGAGCCATTGTGCTTGGAATGTTGAAGATTCTAGATGAAAACAAAACTAATTATTTGTTTACTTATATTTTTCTTTGTTGAGTGCCCCTCAGTGTCTAGGTTCCTATTCCGCTACAGTCAGACTCAGTATGCCTTTGTTGAGAGACACTGAGTGATTTGAATAATGGAATAGTTCTTCAGAAGATTTAGGAGTCACATATGGTATTCAGTTTACTTTTGGAAATTTTTATGAGAAGGCCAATGGAACAATCAAATAAAAAAACGAACCAAAACCTATGCTGAGAGATCATAGGAGTGGAAAATAATTAGCATTTGTATTGTCAACACCAGAAGTTTATACTTCTTCAATTTTGCTTTTCTGTTTTGCTGCAGGCAAAATTTGATTCTGAAATGCCGTGTGAAACCGTGAGTAAGATCCACTTGGTCGATCTTGCTGGAAGTGAGCGCGCCGATGCCACTGGTGCCACGGGGGTCAGACTGAAGGAAGGGGGGAACATTAACAAGTCCCTCGTGACTCTGGGCAATGTCATTTCTGCCTTAGGTAGGTTTCCACTGTCTCCTGCCTCCTCTTATTCTTTGTGGTCCTGTGTTTGCCCAAAGCAATTATGTTTGTGTTGTAAACTGAGGTTATATCCTCAAAGTTTTCTGAAGCCAAATCAGAAGGAAAAATCTTCAATAATTGTCTTTCTTTTCTTTTTTTTGCCTCCCTGCAGCTGATTTATCTCAGGATGCAGCCAACCCTTCTGCCAAGAAGAAGCAAGTTTTTGTGCCTTACAGGGATTCTGTTTTGACGTGGTTGTTAAAAGATAGTCTCGGAGGAAACTCTAAAACTATCATGATTGCCAGTAAGAATTTAAGTTCTTTTCCTCAACATAGTGTTTCATGTGAATTAATTAGATATTTAAGTTTAAAGAGTCTCATTAGGAAAGAGCATCTTTTTATGTTGAAAAACGAATAGTTTTTCTATCATGCAGAAAACCACTAACTGTGACCTAGTCTGTAGTACCATATTACTCTTTCTCCCTCTTGCTGTTCCATAAACTTGCCACGTTCATGGTTACGCAAGCTGGGATACGCGCAGAATAATTCTCAGCTTTTCTTGCTTGAAGTACAAGATATAAACCTTTACTTCGCTAACTCATAGGAGAAAATCATTATAGGGACATAAAGTAAAAATAACCTAGGTCAATTGATAAATTCTCCACATCTTTACCATTTATTAGACCTTTACTTTTTACTTAAAAATTTTAAAGCCATACATGTGGAATTTAATATTGAGAATTGAGAGGGAAAAGACCCAATAAATACAACGAATAATAATGACAACAGCAATATACTTTACTTCTGTTTTCACTAATTAACTGAAAGAAACAGAACAGAGGAAAATATACAAAGGGAAGATAACTCTTGAGGAGAACTTAAACCCTGTTTTCCTCCTAACCTTACTTTCCCCCTACTTTCTACCTACCTCCTTTTCCCTTCCCCTGTCTCTGTGTCTCCCCGACTCTGCCTGCCATGTATTAACTGGGCAGGGGATCTATTCTGGGGTGTGCACCCCAGATGCATTGTGTAGCCACCTAAGCTCTACATTTTGTGGAGGGGAGGAGGGTGCAATTAACCACAGCTTTATGAGGAAAAGAATGAACGGATACACTGACTCTTTCAAAAATTTCAGGCTCTGGATTTTTATAGGTGGTAGACTTGACCAGAACTTCAAAGAATATTTTAACTTCTACTTAATATTGAGAAGTACAAATACAGGAGTCTCCCCTAATTGCTTTCTGCGTGTTCAGTTACTCACGGCCAACTTTGGTCTGAATATATTAAATGGAAAATTCCAGAAATAAACAATTTATAAGTTTTAAATTGTGTCCCATTCTGAGTAGCAGTGACAAAATCTCTACCATCTTGCCCAGTCCCACCCAAGATGTGATCATGCCTTTGTCTAGCATCTCCACCCTATATATGTCATTTAGTAACCCTCTTAGTTATCACATCCACTGTCCTGGCATCACAGTGCTTGGGTTCAAGTAACCCTTATTTTACCTGATGATGCCCCCAAAGTATAAGAGTACTGAAGCTGGTAATTTGAATATGCCAGATAGACTTCATAAAGGGTTTCTTTTAAGTGAAAAGTGAAAGTTCTCAGCTTAATAATAATAAAAAAATCATATGCTGATGTTGTATCCATGGTGAGAATGAATCTTCTATCCATGAAATTGTGGAGAAAGAAAAGAAATTCATGCTACGTCTGCTGTCACACCTGACTTCATAGTTATGACCACAGTGTGTGATAAGCGCTTAGTTAGGATGGAAAAGGCATACAGTTGTGGCTGGAAGACATGAGCAGAGAATGTGTTTCCACTGATGGCAACATGTTGCACCAGAAGTCACTGAGCCTGTAGACGGACTTGAGCAAGGTGTCCCCTGAAACAGGGGACACCAGCCATTTACTGCAAGTAAGGGACGGTTACACAGACTCAGGAGTAGGGTTGGACTGAAAAATATAAAAATGGCTGCAGAGCCTGCGTCTGCCCATAAAGCTGCCACCACATTTCCAGATGAGGTGAAGGCGTCGGTAAGGGTTCGGTACTATCAGTGCTTTCAGGCACCCACTGGGAGGCGGTAACATGTCCCCCACCCCAGTGAAGAGGGGCCACTACTGTAGTCTTGAATTCCTCTTCGTCCAATATATTTTTAAAAATATTTTTTTATTGGTTTCAGAGAGGAATGGAGAAGGAGAGAGAGATAGAAACATCCACTATGAGAGAGAATCATTGATCTGCTGCCCCCCACCAGGGGATCAAGCCTGCAACCCCAGCATGTGCCCTGACCAGGAATCGAACCATGACATTTTGGTTCATAGGTCAACATTCAAGCACTGAGCCACGCTAGCTGGGCATTTTTCCAATATTTTTAACAGAGAAAGCTCCCTGACCTATAGTGGAGGCCCTCATATCTCATTTTAGAGTTGGTTCGGTGGCTGATTCTACACTTAAGAAGTGCCAAATGACATTTAATTTAGTATAGTGAGTGCTTTCCCTATAAATCTTAGATAATTTTTAATATTCATTACTGTGGCAGGGAATATTTATTTAATGACCTGGGGTTAATCTGACTTTTAAATTACAAACCAACTTTGTGTTAAAGGAAACACGGAGTGCCGGATAAATTATTTTTTGAATTCATTCTTCATAGCCATTTCACCTGCTGATGTCAATTACGGAGAAACCCTAAGTACTCTTCGCTATGCAAATAGAGCCAAAAATATCATCAACAAGCCTACCATTAATGAAGATGCCAACGTCAAACTCATCCGTGAGCTGCGAGCTGAAATAGCCAGACTGAAAACGCTGCTTGCTCAAGGAAATCAGGTCGGGTTACTCTGAGATTTATGGATAATTTTCTTTGAGTAATGGCATCTATTTCTAGATCTTAATGAGATAATTATCTCACTTATTGTATTGATTTGAGTAAATAAGTGCTAAGTGAAGCTTGAATGAGTTAGCCAGTCTCTCCTTTACATCACTCTTCCATTGTCTTTACATTTATTCTGTGCTCCTTATGTAAGTAAGATTTTATCCACTAAGTCTGAAATGATTAACTATCTAATAGTTATCAATTATGGATGGAAATTTAGCATGCAATAGGATTAGCAGCATAATCTCCATTAGTGGAAGGAAATTGAGGTGCTTGGAGTTATATTTAAAATTCTATTTGTGCATTTTGTGACTTTAAAATGTATTTTAACAGAAGGAATGAAAGACTAGTTTGAACATCTTTCTGAATTTTTGTTCTGTACTGTCCTTTGCAGAGGTGGTTATGATGACACAGTGACATGTGTGACATACCTCTAGCCTGGCTGAGACGATATTCCTGGGTCCTTGTTTGATTGTTGGAACAGCCTCACTTCAGCATCTTTGCGAATTCTAGGGAAGGGGCCTTGTCTCTTTGTGTTTTTCACAGTGAATTTACTTATAATCTGCAGAGTTTACATTCATAGTTACATTCTTTTATTTAAAAAATGTATTTTTATTGATTTCAGAGAGGAGGGGAGAGGGAGAGAGAGAGATAGAAACATCAGTGATGAGAGAGAATCATTGATCGGCTGCCTCCTGCACGCCCCACATTGGGGATTGAGCCCACAACCCAGGCATGTACCCTGGCTGGAAATTGACCATGACCTCCTGGTTCATAGGTTGATGCTCAACCACTGAGCCACATTGGCCAGGTCAGAGTGTGTGTGTGTGTGTGTGTGTGTGTATTTCATAAAGGAAGGGAGAGAGAGATAGAAACATCAATGATGAAAGAGAATCATTGGTTGGCTGCCTCCTTCATGCCTGCTGATGGGGATCGAGCCTGCAACCTGGGCATGTGCCCTTGACTGAATTGAACCCAGGACCCTTCAGTCCCCAGGCTGATGCTCTATCCACTGAGCCAAACCATCCAGAGCAAGAGTTACATTCTTGATGAATAGTGTGAACTAGGTTCTTATAGGTCTAGACACTTGTAACAAACACTCCTGAAATCAAAAATAGCTTTTCAAAATGTTTGCATTAGATTGGAGTTAGAAATAGACAAAGATACATTTCTTCCCATTTTCCTAACCTATGAATAGATGTCACACATGTCACTAAATATTAGTTTTCTTTAAATGCCAAGTGCTCTCTCTAGAGCAGCTTCCTATCTAGGAATACTGTATATGGCCTGTGAAGCCCTTGACATCCCATTAGTGGTTTGACCTATGAAGATATTGACAGGATAAAAATCTTACCGAGTTTCCTGTGACCTGAAATATAACTGAAGTTCTTTTCCCATAAGATGCTGGACAACAGTTGTGCAGGAATTACTCATTACACTTAAAAACATGTCCACACACATTTTACTTTTTGATGGGGAGCTATCCTGTGTGTGAAAGGAAGTTGTCAGAACAAATAATCCAGCTGTATGTGTTGTTATCAAGCAATATAACATATGACATGAACCCAATAGTTATTTTTACTTATACACCTTGTTATTGGGATCTTTTTCAGTGTTTTTAAAACATTATTTATCTGAAGTAAACATTTAAGTATGATATTATGGGCTCACCCAAATTATATGTGAAGGAAAGTATTTGGGAAATTCTTGTGCAACTTCTTTAGTTAATGTTTTACTAAGTTATGAGAGTGAAGAAAAAGAAAGATTAGCCTTTTAAAATTAAACAAAGGAAATTTTTGAAAGGAGCCTTATCATGTGGGCAGGAAAGCTCTAATTTACTAAAATTTTTACAAATTCTTCCTGGGGAATGTCTTATATTTTGTGGTCTTTTATTTTGATTTTTGCATGACTAAAGACTACTGTAATTAAAGAAGTATTTTTGTTGCTGTAGTCTTTGGGGTAAGAATGGAAATAGTAGTTAAATCTATTTTATAACACACTGAAGATAAAATTCCTTGATAAACTCAATACATTAAAATGAAAACAGGAATCCAATTTAAAATAATTTATCACACTATGAAGCTCTATAAATTGTGAGATAATATAGGCTTATTCTAGATTAATTAAATTTGTGATGCCTAATAAAATAAGCAGGTGTTCTTATGTGCCCATTAAAAATCTGTTTACATTTTTCTGATGACATTGCTCTATTTCCACATTCTTTTATTCTGAACTAGAGGCCCGTTGCACTAAGATTCGCACAATAGGCCTTCCTTCCTCTGGCTGCCGGCACCAGTTTTCCTCCGGCACCCAGGACCTAGGCCTTTGGGCCAAGCCTCTTCAGTTTTCAGTCTTCACTCCGTGCCTGTGTATGCAAATTAACCGCCATCTTTGTTGGGTTAATTTGCATAGTCACTCTGATTGGCTGGTGGGTGTAGCGGAGTGACACCAATTTGCATGTTTCTCTTTTATTAGTGATGCTGCCATGGTTCATTGAGAATGTTACTCAAATCAAATTTCCATTTCTAGGGTTATTTTGGTACAGTTAAATAAAAATCAATTTCTTTTAATAATTTTATGTATTTGACAATCAAAATGTCATGTGAATAGAGTTTTAAAATCACAGTTTTAATAAAACAAAATATTTTGACATATATTGGATTCACTTCTCCTACATATAGATAAATATATATGTAGTCATTTATATATGTATGTGAGCTCTTTATTGAAGTATTAGATGTGTGCAAAAATTACATTTATATATGTATACAGATCAGTGAATTTTTACAGGATGAAATCACCTATCTAACCTGCACCTACATCAAGGAACAGGACAGTATCAGCACCCCAGAAGTCCCCCTTAATGTTCCTTTCTAAGTATTATCCACTCTTCCCTTTAAGGGTAACCATATCCTGACTTCTAAAGGCATAGATTAGTCTTTAGTTTTGCCTATTTTTGTTCTTTACATAAATGGAATTGTGCAGTATATATTCTTGACCTTACTTCTTTCACTCAACATTGTATTTGTGAGATTCACCACTTTGGTGCATGGAGTTATAGAGCCATTTATTTTCATTTCTTTATTGTATTCTATCATATAAAGGTTTCCCAACTCATTTATAGGTTCAATTTTTGATGGGCATTTGCGGAGTTTCTTTTTTGGTACTATTATGCTGCTGTGGACTTTTTAGTGAACATGCAGATGCATTTCCTATGAGTGTACATGTGTCCAGTTTTAGTGGATGCCAATTTATACTCCACCATCAGTATATGAAAGTGCCAGGTGTAGTTCCTGCAGGTCCTTGTGAACACTTGGTACTGTCCATTTTCATTGTAACCATTCTGATGGATGCCTAGTGGTATCACTGAATTATATTGGTTTGTACTTCTCAGAAGATTCATGAAATTGAGCATTTGGATATTTTGTATTTTCAAATGTTCTCTTTTATTATATTATATTTAAAGCATATTTTCAGACTTGTGCTTTGAATTTGGCAGAGAGAAAATGTCTCTTAATTCTTCTCTTTTGAATTTATCTGGAGGTAATAAGAAAATGAAACAATATAGAAATGAAATGAACAAAAGTCAAAAATCAAAAAAAACACAATGAGAGAAGATGAAAGTAGGATGAATTTCTCATTTTTGTAGCTGGAGTCATCAATAAGGTTTATTTATTTATTTTTTAAATATATTTTATTGATTTTTTTACAGAGAGGAAGGGAAAAGGGATAGAGAGCTAGAAACATCAATGAGAGAGAAACATCAATCAGCTGCCTCCTGCACGCTCCCCACTGGGGATGTGCCCGCAACCAAGGTACATGCCCTTGACCGGAATCGAACCTGGGACCCTTGAGTCCACAGGCTGACGCTCTATCCACTGAGCCAAACTGGATAGGGCATTAAGGTTTAAATAGTAGATAGATAATAGAAATATCAGTATTAAGATAGATAACTCTTATGGTCAAACAGGAAAGCTCACTTATATGATGTTTGTAAGGATGGGCAATTATCTACCAGCTAATTCAAGGGGTAAGTAAACAGTGTAAAAACAGCATTATATGAGCTTCAGAAAAGGCACTTTATCACAACAAAGAGTGCAATTCATAATTAAAATCAAGTATGATGTCAGCTTTCATAAAAGAAAAACAAAACTATAGGAAATAGCCACTTCTGAAGAGAAGACATAGAAATTGCCAATAAACATATGAAAAGATGTTCAAACTATCAGAGAAATGCCAATTAAAGCCACAATGAGATACCAAGTCACACCTGTCAGAATGGCAATCATCAGTAAATCAATAAACGAATATTGGCGAAGATGTGGGGAAAAGGAAACCGTAGTGCACTATTGGTGGGAATGCCAACTAGTTCAGCCAGTATGGAAAATAGAATGAAGGTTCGTTAAAAAATTAAAAATGGAATTACCTTATGGCCCAGCAGTTTCACTTCTGGTTATATATCCAAAGAAAGCAGAAACACTAATTTGAAAGAATATATGCACCCCTATATTTATTGCAGAGTTATTTCCAATAGCCAAGATATGGAAGCAATGCAAGTGCCCATCAGTAGATGAATGGATAAAAAGTATGGAACATACACTGAGTGGCCAAATTATTATGACCGGCCAGATTATTCTGACTACCCCATCAGTACTTCATTGACACTTCCAAAAATACTGAATATTGAAAACTTCCTAAGCAAATACTCTCAAGGTTTTTTATTATTATTATTTGCATAACTAATTCACTTCATTATACTGATGGGGTGGTCATAATAATCTGGCTGGTCATAATAATCTGGCCACTCAGTGTATATACATATATATTGGAATATTACTTGGCCATAAAAAAAAAGAATGAAATCTTGCCACTTGTGACAGCATGGATGGCCCTATAGGGTGTTAAGCTAAGTGAAATAAGTCAGTCAGAGAAAGACAAATACCATGTAATTTCACTTATATGTGGAATCTAAAGAGCAAAATAAATGAACAAACAAAATAGAAATACGCAGAGAGAACAGACTGATGGCGCCAGAGGAAGGGGTGCTGGGGAGATGGTAAAAAAGGTGAAGAGATTTAGAACTATAAATCGGTAGTTACAAAATAGTCACAGGGATGTAAAGTCCAGCGCAGGGAATATAGTCAATAATATTGCAATAACTATGTATGGTGCCAGGTGGGTACTTGAAATATTGAGGGTAACACTTTGTAAATGATTGTCTATCTACTATGCTGTATACCTGAAGCTAATACAAAACAATATTGAATGTAAACTGATAGAGAAATAAAGTAAAAAATAATAATAATGAAACAAATAGAAAAAAAAACCCTGTAGGAAATTCCAGGAGACAGAGCCATGTACATATTTGTCACAGGGAACTTGTATTCCTCTTTCTCATTTTATGAGAGCTCACGTAGACAAAAATAAGCGAAGACAGCATGTTTACATTGCATAATAAAAATGTGCTGGAATCATTACAAACCAGGAAAAAGATTGCCAACTCATGCAACAAAAGACTACTTTTCTTATGAGAAATGCTATTAAAAACTAGAAAGATTATGATCCAACAGAAAAGTGAATGGGAGAATATGAGCATAATTCATGGGAAAAACGTTACAAATGGCCTCTAAACATCTGAAAGTATGCTCAATGTAATTTGAAATATAGCAATGCAAATATTAAGAATAGTGGAATAAATATGTATATGTAAATAGATACATAGTTATCAAGCTGTGCATTTTACTACATGTAAATTATACCTCAAGGTTCTTAAAAAACAAGGAGATGCCCTTTTCACCTCACATGGTCAGAAATCAAAACACTTGATTGGACAGTATATTGGCAAGGGTTGCAGGCAAGAGTTTCTTGTATATGTTGTTAGTAGAGTTGGTATTGCTGAAGTTTTGATGTAGTATTACTCTTGATTTAACACATAAACTTAATATGAGTATTTTTTAATCCTGAACACTTTTCCTCAGAAAAGACACTTTGCAAAGAATAAGTTAATTGTAAAAGTTTTAGTTTTACCAAAGATTTCTTTTAGAAAGGACTTAGGTAGGTCTTTATTTATGTGTGCTTTAAAATAATTTTCCAAAAGTTATAGTGATCAGAAATAAATGGTGCATGTATTTAATCAGTTATCATCTACTCAGTTGATGGTGTGGTAGGAATGTTTTAGCTTTGATTGCAGATGAAACATTCTAACAGTGGAGTCTTTAAAATGAACCATGTTATAAAGGGGGTTACTAATTGTTTTAAAAATTGTCAACCGTATACAATGATGCAGTAATTATAATATCTGCCACTTGCATTTCTTCAATGAAAAATACTTGAGTATCATCTATGTGTAAGACGACATGGACATGTTACGTGCAGTGATGTTGAAGTAATGTGTTAGCAAAGCTTCTTTTCCTCCACTAAGGATGAATTTGATCTGGAGTTAACTTGCTGGTTTTATTCTCTGTACACTGGATAAAAGTGGGATGCCAGCTGTCTAACCAGGCAGCATCTCTAATGATAAAAATACCCCCCACTTGGTGAAGTGCATCTGGATTAGGATGAACTCTATATATAAGCTATAAATGTGCTGCTGAGAAGCCTTAGCTTTGAGTTTCATTGAGAGCAGAGAATCTTGTAATAGGTGTGTTCCTTGTGGAGACCCTGGAGGATATGCCTATGACATTGTTACAAGAGATGTTGGTTCCCCACACATGTCTCCATCCCTCAAGAAGGCCAAAGACAGTACTCCTGGACAGCTGTGGGGACTACTGCAGAGAGCACAGGGTACTTTGCCCTGCCCTGCTGGCCGCTCTGCCTTCTGCTGAGTACGTAGATGCCAAGAGTGGCCCATGGTAGTCTTGTTAGTCTGAATGTTTAACTGAGCCTAAGATCACCTCATGGGAATTATATTTGTTCAAATTGAAATTGAAAAGTAAATAGTAATGAAAAGAATATTCAGCCTCTGAGGAAGACAGCTTGGCTATTAAAAAAATCATACAAATTTCCCCTTAGGAATTTATTCTGTTGATACGACCATGCATACTGAAGGCAGCGAGTATAGGGATAGTCATTGTAGCATTGCTGGTAGAGCAGAAGATTAGAAAAAACTGCATTTCCATTAATAGTAGAGCACTGACATAAATTATAGAATATCCATACAATTCCGCTCAGTGGTGGAACTGGAATTGTTAAAAAGAATGAAGTGGTTTTATTTGTACTGAATTTCCCCCAAGATATATTGTTAAGTGAAAAAGGCAATAATCAGAATGGTGTTCATGTTTCAAAATAATCAGCAAAAACATGCATGAATATGACCAGAATAACTGCAAGTTTACACAGCAAATTGGATAGAGGCGGTTGCCTGTGGGAAGCGGAGGGAGCAAGACCCCCTTTATTCTTTCTTATGGTATCTGAGGAAGCACCGTGTCCTACCTATCAGATGAGTTACAATAGGTAAAGCCCCTGTGTGCCCCACCCCACCCCACCCCAACCCACCTGGCTTCATTTGCCTCTCCCTTCTCTATCTGCCTTCTTCTTCCCAGTTCTAACCCGATTTTGGTGTTTATCGTTCTCATATCCAACTTTATACTTTGAGCAACATGGGTGAGGAAGTGGATAAATAGATTGTGGTGGAGCCATACCGTACATAGGATATCACCCAACAATGAAAATTAATGCGTTTTCTTTGCATGTGCCAACATGGTTGGATTTCAGAAGCCTGTGGCTGAACAAGACTTAAGCTTTTTATATTTTGAATTATTGTAGTTTGTGCATATTCAAAGTGAACAATTTTTTTAGGTCCTAGGTATTTAGGTCATACTTGATTTTGAGAAAACGTTAGTTATGTTACATGTATGGCTGTTTCTCACTTTGCTGATTTGTATTGCAGATGTAGGTGTACCAGGCTACCATGGTTTTGAATATTATATGTAGCCCATGCAGTAAAGACTTGGTGGCATGATTGACACTTTTTGGGGGGTCTGGGACAATACTTTTTACTGCTATTTAATAGTTTATTTGACAGTTTCTGGTAATTTACTGTATCCTTCCTCTATATTATTGCTGTTTACTAATTGCTGCTTTCTTATGTTTTAAATCGTAGATTGCCCTTTTAGATTCCCCCACAGCCTTAAGTATGGAGGAAAAACTTCAGCAGAATGAAGCAAGAGTAAGTGATACCTTGATTTCTTGTTATTTTAAAATCATAACTTTCACTATTATTTTAAGGACATGCTTTTTAGTTCTTGCCATTTGAGACTCATTTTCTTTCTTCATTACACTTAACATTCCCCACCCCAGCTGTGATAAATTTTAAAGAAGGACAATAGTTGACTTTTTATGTATCTCACCATCTTCTCTGACTGACTAAATGGGGTCTGTCAGGCACATGATGAAGTGCAACTGAAATTCACACCCAGAAGGTAGGAATGAAACAGGCCTCTGGGCCTTCAGAGCAGACAGGGGGTCTGGGTGGAGAGCGGCCCTGCTCAGCATTCCCGAAACAGCAGTGGTCCCCTGGCTTAGCCACAGCTGCATCAGGTCCACGCTTTCGTGTTTTTTTTTCGTTCTTTTACTTTGTTTTCAAAGGGAAATGCAGCACTTGGGGAACTGTGAAATACACTAGGTAGATGCTTAGTTTCTCTTAAGCTAGGTGAGGTCTGAGGCAGGGACAGAGTGGCAGTGAGCGACTGGAAGAGAGGTTATCCAAAGAGCTGTTGTAGGCTGAAGCCAGGTGTGTGTGTGTATCTATCTATCTATCTATCTATCTATCTATCTATCTATCTATATTTATTTATTTATTATTTTTTTAAAGTATATTTTTATTCAGAGAGGAAGGGAGAGGGAGAGGTAGAAACATCAATGATGAGAGAGAATCATTGATTGGCTGCCCCCTGCAAGCCCCCTCCTGGGGATTGAGCCTGCAACCCAGGCATGTGCTCTGACTGGGAATTGAACCGTGACCTCTTGATTCATAGGTTGATGCTCAACCAGTGAACCACACTGGCCGGGCAAATAGCCCTGTTTGAAAAGAGAAATGGGCATTAAGAACATACTTTGGATTGGATTTTGTTTGTTGTTCTGAATGGTTAAAACAGACTGAGAAAGAAAACTGGATTCTCTTGGTGAAGCTCCTTCAAGAATACACAATATCGAAAATATAAATCGGGTTGTTGTTAGGAACTTGTTGACACTTCCCTCAGTAATTATGATGAATAATTTGATGATAATAGCACTAGTAATATCATTAGTTTTTTTAATCCCTATTTTTCTCATGAAATTTTGTATTTAGTACTTCATATTCTAATTTTGAGTGCTTTGAAGTGTCTGGATCTAACCTTAAATTTTTTCTTAATAGTAGTTTTCAGGAATACCTAGCAACTTAGTAGAAACCAATATACATTTAAATTTGAATGCATTATACATGCTGTGACAGAAATGACTGCCTATCTCATAACATTTTCTAAATTATCACCTATTTTTTGCTGACCTTTTAAAATTGTTTGCCATCTACTTGGCTACAAATATTTATTACTTTATCACATTGTTAGAGGTGATATCATATGTTTTCATTTTTCTTAATTTTATAAATTGAGATTGTTTGCTTTAAATTCAATAGTAAAATAAACCCAAGGCATACTGACCATTTGTTTAAAGCTGGAGTTATTTGATTGAATTGGAAAATAATTGATTGGCTTATGTTTCTTCAGGGAGGGCATATATGTTGGTGAAATATAGAAGCATTTATTGTTGAGTGCGTAGTGTTTCTCAGGTAAATTACTAGTGAGAATCTGTTCATTTATTACTATAAATTAGTAAATTCAGCACATCGATCTCTCCCCTTCTGTAGGGAGAAAAGGCATGAGAACATGTCCTCTCTGAAAGCTTTTGCACAACAAAAGCCCTGAGAGCTATGTGCATTTACTGCTGTCAGAGCCTGTGCAGTTGGCATCACTCATGTGATGAAGGATTGGAGTGTACAACCAGTTCCAGGTAGATAGGACAGTCTTACCAAATCATTAAAAACAAGCAAAAACAAAGCTAGAGAGGCTCTGTCAGGTTTCTTTTTTTCTTTTTCTTTTTTATCAAAAGATGAGAGACTTTGACATTACTAGTAAAAAAGGAGAAACATTATTTTAACTTAGATGTTGTACATCCCTATTAGAAGTAAATTGAGGAGTAGAAGGAATGGCCAGTTCAATTTAGATGCATGGGATATGTTTTGGTTTTCCTCTGGGATAAACTGTGAGTTCAGTTCCTCCATTTCTCCTCAGTTGCAAACACTTTGAGGAAGATAGCAGACATGAATGCCCTTTCCTGTTACTATACTTGATATTAAGTGTGTGGAAAGGATCTCCCTCTGTGAGGTGACAGTACAAGCAGATGTATTCGGTGCATTCACTTTGGTCTGGTGAAATAAGGCACCTTTTCAGAGGGAAGACCGGGAGGTGCCAGTGGGACGGTCTGCCGTGGGCAGTGGGGAGGTGGCAGGAGTGCTGGGGGAAAGAGGGGAAAAGGCTTTAAAAGCACGTGTTCCCCCCGCTCTGCCTCTTGGAGTCACTCTCTTTCAGCCCTAGATATACCCCTTTTCATAGAAAATATTTTTCATTCATTCTTTTTCCTACCTTTTCATAAGGAATCATTGTTTGCTTCTTAATGATTTACTCATGAGGATTATTTTAAAAGTTTAACTTTGAGAAGCCACTTCCAGTCTTGCTTTGTTGGACAGCTGGGCACATTTTCTTCCCTAGTTTCAGCAGACTGGAAAGAAACTGATTCTTATCAAAAGATTTTTTGCTTTTACTAAGAGTCAATTAAAGAGCCCCCCCCCCCCCTTTAAAGATAGAATGAGATTTGTAAGCCCTATTAATTAGCTACAAAAGCAGATTATCTCCTAAAAAGAAAACTGCAGCATCCCAGGCGATTTAATCACACATGTAATGAGAAAGAAAAGTCAGTCATTATTTCTTAGGGCCTAAATTATAATCAGGAAAAATTAACCTATTTAATGTAGGATGAGATCAGCCATTTGATTTATATTTGGTGATGGTTCTTTCAGGGCTAGAAATTGCCATGCAATTTAAAACATTATAGTACATCCTTTCATAAAGCTATGAAAGTTGGAAACTTTCTATAAGAAAATCACAATATATTTTTATGGAGCAATCACATATGTATATTTTTTTCTTTTAGGTTCAAGAATTGACCAAGGAATGGACAAATAAGTGGAATGAGACCCAAAATATTTTGAAAGTAAGGACTATAAAAAGGTGCCTTAATTTTACTATGCTGGTTTAAATAGGTAAAACTTCCTTTTTTTTTTTTCAAATATGGCTGTTGTGTGCTTTGCTGAAGGTAAGGTCGTGGAGCTGATTAGTGATTCTTCGGGGCCTGGGGCTCTGGTTTGGTTTCGGAGAAATGGGAGAGGGAGCTATTAGAGCTGTGTGTGTTTTAGCCCGTGGAGGTGATGTTGATCCCTGAGGTGTTTGCTTTCACTTGGAGTTTTTCCCCTTTTGACTCGGCACATATTAAACTCCATTTAATATTCCACTTTGCCTTTCTGCTTTTGTTAAATGCAGTATAAGTGATGTGTTAAATTAAATAAAACAACCACAGAAAACTTCCCATGGCAATATTGTTGAATAGGTGTGCAGAGCCATGGTTAGATTTCAGAAACTCCTAAGCCAGTGATTTCTTATTGGAATTTTTTTCTGTATGTCTCAAGGGTTAGACACCGATAGTCTGCATATTTGGCAAGACTTGTGAAAGGACACCATTTTCCATACTCTGCTTCAAAGTACATGTTTCCTTATGTTCCCTTTTTTGCTGAGTGGATCGAAACTCTGTGCCGTCTGTAGAGGGTCAGCAGCACAAGGTTTGGGGTTCAGAATTGAATTTCGTGCTTTGATTGGATCTGTCTGACTTGATGCAGGAGAGACTGTGATCCAGAGACTGTGGAATCCTAGGCTTGTTTTTGAGGCCCCCTCTCATATTAGCCAGGCTTCACATCTTGGCAGAAACCCTAATTTGGATCCACTTCACATGAAAATGGGGCACCGAGCTACCCTTTCATGGGGGTAAACTTTTGAAGGCTTGGCTTGCCATTCAGTTGTGTGTCTAAACCAGGGGTGGGCAAACTTTTTGACTCGAGGGCCACAATGGGTTCTTAAACTGGACCGGAGGGCCAGAACAAAAGTATGGATGGAATGTTTGTGTAAACTAATATAAAACAAAGTAAACATCATTACATAAAAGGATACGGTCCTTTTTTTTTCTTTTCTTAGTTTTATTCATTTCAAACGGGCTGGATCCGGCCCGCGGGCCGTAGTTTGCCCACGGCTTGTCTAAACCCTCTCTTGAAAAGTGGGGTCAGCCTTGTTACATAAGGTTCTCCATGTACCATTTCGGCAGCTCATTCTGCTCTGGAGGTTAACAGACTGTTTCTCATGAAGCCAGAGGTTGTGCTGCAATCTCAGTGGTGGTGGATTGTGATGGTCCTGGGCTTTCTTTTCTTTCCTTCTGGTTATGATGATAATATATTATTTCCTCAGCTTCTCCTTTGTTGAGAGATTTTTTGTGCAGGAAACTGAACAAAGACCTGATTCACATTTTAGAATAGTCAGGTATGGAGTAAGCACCACCAAAGATGTGAATGTTTTTCATTGTTTAAGTGGCATCAACAGTCCTGAGTGATGCCACAGCCCCAGGCTATGAATCCAAGTCGTTTGACCTTTCATGGCAGGATGTACACTTTGCTCAGTAAATTGCCAAAGAGAGAGGGCTCAGATCTGTTCCATTTAGGGAACAGAGAAAGCAAATAGTTAGCTATTTGAAAAGTCATCAGTGTACATAGTGCCTGTTAGCACAGGAGGGACTGCAGCAGTGAACTGAAGGACTTCTGCCTCACCTCCCCGCTGCCCTGCCTCTCCTGCTGCTGCAGTCGGGGTTGTGGTTTCTGCAAAGAGATCCTCCCGCAGCGCCACTGTGGGGAACCCGGAACCTTCTCTTTTGCTTTTTCCCTGTGGACGCCGACACTAAAATCTTTCTCCAGTTCCAATTCTATTTTTTAAAAATAAGTTTTATTATTTTTTTCACTTTTCAGATGAGGAAAATCGAAATGTGGCATGTGCTGGGGGCTAAAGGTTAGGAGAAAGGTGGATGCTGTTGCAAGTTGTTCCCTTCTTTTGACCTTGCGAGCCCTCTTAGGGTTTCTCTGCTGGTGTCTGTGCTTTCAACCTGCAGTTGTTTTCTGCTCACCTTTGATAAGGGCTGTCCTCATCTCTTCCCAGAAGACCGTGCCTGAGGGTGAAGAAGAGGGCTACTCAGATGTCTTTGAAAACATTCTGTGGAAATTGATGGGTAAAGGGTTACTGGATGAATCTGAATGGGTTTATATCTGTGTGGTTTGAATAATCCTTTCCCATATTTCTGCCACCTTGCCATCTTACCCTTCAATGATGCTACATAGAACCCACTCCAACCCAGTGGCTTAAAACAACATTGATTTTCTCAGGCTTGTATAGATTGGCTGTGGGTTGGCTGCTCAAGTAGGCTTGGCCAGGCTGTGGGTTCCAGGTTGTCTGCACATGTCTCTCTCCTCTAACCAGCTGGTTGTCCAGAGCATGCTCTTGGCCAAGGTACAAGCAGGCAGGCCTCGTTATGCAAACACATTTCAAGCTTCTGTTTACATCATGTCTGCTAGCATCCTATAGCAAATCGCTTGGCTGAACTGAAAGTCAAGGGGGAAAGAAGTGTATCTCGCCTATTCAGGCCATGGCAAGGGTGTAAACGTATGAGCCTACTTTGAGATCAGTGGTCTACTCTATACACACTGTGTTAAAATATGAATCTTTTCAGTTCCTGGAACATTTTTTTTTGTAGAAGCAGGCCAGTGAAGCACTACATCTCCAGGATTAGCTTCTTCATCAGGACCCGGCTGTTTACTCTGCCAGTTTGTTAATTATTATTCCTTCCAAGCCCCAATTCTAAACATCCAGGGAGAGACCTCTGGGGAGAAGACTGACGAGAGCTAAATACACTGGGCATTAGAGGGAGATACAGGGACCAGTTTGGTGTTTCTTGGCATAGTAAGAACCTGCCTTGTTCCTTTTTCTTGCCCAACTTTATTATGTTTTTTATAGTTTAATATTTTTATTTTTATATGTCCTTAAATTTTTTAATTACAGTTTACATTAAATATTATTTTGTGTTGTTGCCCAACTCATAGGAGGAGACTCATAGCTATTGTTTGTAGAGAGGACTAAGGGAAGAGTATAACCCATCTTCTCAGCCACCAGAGTGAGCTTCATAATTGTTGAGCTGTCTGTGCTGAGTACTTATATTTCCTGTTCCCGTTCTGAGACTTGAGACTAGTTTGTCAGTGTGCATCGTGAGCAGTTGCTTCCGGAATATATGGGAGCCCATCCATGCAGGGTAAGGAGTCTCAAGTTGGTGTGGAAGGCAAAGGTCCTTTAAAGTCTGAGTTTACTCTAAAAGTCCCTTCATTTCCCAGGAAATCACCAGATCCTGAGCCCTGGGATGCGCAAAAGCTAAGGAGTAACTTCCTTCCTTTCTTTTTAATCTAATCTGTGGCTTTGCTTGCTCTGGATGAGTGAAATCCAAGGTCCTGTTGAGTGGGGGTGGAGAGAGAGTGAAAGGCTGCTGGGTGGACACGTGTCTGACAAGAGGCACTGGCTGTTCTCAGCCAAGCTGGTGGCACCGTGGTGATAAGGATGAGGCTTCCGGCTTTGTCCTTCGGAACTGGGGTCTTAGGCTTCAGTTGTCTTTCTAACTCCCTGGGTCCTGCCACTAATCCACAGTTGTCACATACCCTAGTTCCCAGCTTGAAAATCAGGGTGGGTGGTGACCTCTTCCTTACATCCCAGTTAGCAGGGTATGAGATAATAAAGTACTCGGGGTTACTGTGAAATCAGCTAATGGCAGCAGAAAGCGTGTTTATCTTCAAGACGTAGTTCTCAGGCAGTTAGATAATGAGAGTTTTATTATCCCCTACAATGTACTCTCTTGCCTCTTAATCTACCTTCCTTTTTTTCATTAATCTTCATTTTCTAGAAAATTAGAGTCCAAACTTTCCTGCCTGGCCCCCAAAGGCAGTGATCTCCTCGGTTTCACAGGTCCTATCACACAGTCCTCTGTGCCTCACCCCCGCAGCATCCCTCCCTGCCTTGCCAGATGTCTCTCTGGTCCCTGCAGGAACCGGGCAGTGGGTGTTTTGGTGTCTCTGGGCTTTTGACTGTGTTTCTCTATCATCTGAGGTATTTCGCCTTTCTGTGCCTGTCAGATTCCACTTTGAAGCTCTCTGATCACTTGTCTCTCCCATTTCCCAGTAGAATGATTTTGTTTTATTCTGGCTTTTACAGCATTTGGTTTTACTTCTGTCACAGTATTCATCATCCGATGAGTTGGCATCATCTGAATTTGGTGGTCTTGGTATTTCCCTCCAAACAGAAGCAGGATCTGGGCAAAGACTGGTTCTATCATTCTGTGTACCTACTCCTGGAACTCTGCTTCTCAACAAGCAGGTGTGCCGTGAAAATTTGCTGGATTAAAGTAGTATCAAGAAGCAAAAAACAAAAACCGTACTTTATTTGCTAGGGCTGGCAGAATGAAAGCCACAGGCTGTGTGGGGTAAACAGGAGAAATGTATCTGTTCACAGTTCTGGAGGCTAGAACTCAAGATCAAGGTGTGTGCAGGGTTGGTTTCTCCTGAGGCTTCTCTCCTTGGCTGTGGATGGCCTCTCTGTGTCCTCATATGACCCTTTCTCTGCGTGCCTGCTGCACCGCTGGCCGGCCTCTGTGTTTTAATCTCCTCTTATAAGAACACCATTCAGATTGAATTAGGGCTCACCCTAAGGGCTTTGCTTTAACTTAATTACCTCTTCAAATGCCTTCTCTCCAAATACAGTCACATTCTGATGTACTGGGAATAGGGCTTCAACATGTGACTTTTAGGGGGACACATTTCAGCCCATAACAATTTGGACCATTCAGATCTGATGACCCAGTGGGAAAAGTAGCAGGGAGTGTTGTGCAGGCAGTGGGCTTGCCCTAGGCCCTAGTTATTACGCTCCTACCTATGCATTCCATCTTATTTCTCTCATTTCTACTTGAAAGGCTTCTATATTCTTGTGTATTTTCATTCTTCAAAAGGATGTGGCTGAATTCCTCTTGAATGTAGTCCAGTCGTTCCTTTAGGTCAGTTAGATCTTTGCTGTTCAAAGCATGGTTCTTGG